TGGACTGGACTGTGGGACATAAAGTGATACTTGTGAAGAATGTGCCTCTTAGACAAGTAGATACAAGAGACCAAAGGGGCAGCTTCTGTCCAGAGCTGAGAAGGGAAGGCAGAGAGTTAGGAGCTGGTTGAATGTTAATGGGGAATCAGGGGCAGAGGGGAGGAGTGTGCTGTCACAGAATGGGGTGAGTGGTTGTGGTCTCATAACAATGTATGTTAAAAAAAAAAAAAAAATTCTGTATGGGAGAGTAACTTGAAATGTAAACTTCATTTAATTACAACAATAAAAAAATACAATTTCTAAAACAGTATATTGATACGCAGAGATATTAAACTGTAAATATAGCTTACAAGCTGTGTCAAGAGCTCAAAACCACTTCAATGCATATATAACACATTTTATCAAATGAGATGATTACCTATAATACCAATTTATATCTAGATGTCTATATTTATTTTATATAAATGAATATATAAATTATGTACGTGTATACACACACACACATATATACACATACATACATATATGTATATATTTTTCCCCCTCTACTATTTATGGTGTTCTTAATTTTAACTACCTAACCGGAGTGAGTCAGATTATGTCACTTCAGTCCAATAGTTTCCCACCTTACTCAATTAAAATCCAAAGTTCTTATCATGGCCTATAACATCTGCACCGATCTTCATTCCGATCATTCTCTCACTCACTACATCCTTTCCCCTTTGAGAAGGCCAATTATTCATCTAGCAAGATTTTGGGAAATTTCATGAAATTTAACTTATCAATAATGTCTTTGTTTGCATTATAGGCTATTTGAGTTCTCGGAGTTGCTCATCTCTGAATCTGCCTAGAGTAGTGCTCTGTAAATATTTCTTGAACTGAGGTCATATTTTCTACGCATCCCAGTGACTTTGGGACTTTAGGCCTAGCTTTTCTTACATTTTTAATCAAGCTTAATTTTTAAAAGACAACCAACATTTTCTAAGATTTCTCAAATTTGACCTTATAAAATTTTTAGGAAATGTTTTGTTTATACCTCTAAATATATTTTACTTGGCTAAGAAACAATTTTGCTTTCATATTTTATGAAGAGCCTTTTGAATTTGTTGTTACTAAAATGTAGACTATTGGTAAGGTGCTATATTTTTTTAAAACATGTAATAGAATGGTTAAATAACCATCTGAAAAAAGTATCAACTAACCTATTACAAGTCTAGGCTTTAAGTTCTATTTTTTCAACAGGTGAATCCATGAATCCTGATTCTACCACTAACCAGCCAAATGACCTCAGGCAAGTTACCTAATAGGCCTTTGTTTCCTCATCTGTAAAAAAGCAGATAGTAAGATCCACCAATGACTGTTAAAAACTAGAGGGTAAAGTTTTAAGAAGGAACATAATCTCAATTGCTCATATGCAAGTCCGAGTGAACCTGAAGAAACTTAACACAAGTCCACGAGAATCCAAGTGTGACCCTGAGTATATTCCACTGGAATTTAGAGACCATCTCAAGAAGAGATTTGATGCATTGAACGCTAATGACTGAAAATCAGACGAGTTGTAGGATAACATCAAGGACACCCTACACAAAGAAAGCAAAAGGTCATTAAAAACACAGGAAAGAAATGTAGAGCAGCTAAAGTGAATGGAAGAAATGATAAAGTAGAAGAGCTAAACAGAAGATTTCAAAGGGCAGCTCGAGAAGACAAAGTAAAGTATTATAATGAAATGTGCAAAGACCTGGAGTTAGAAAACCCAAAAGGGAAGAACACACTAGGCCTTTCTCAAGCTGAAGGAACTGAAGAAAAAATTCAAGCCTCAAGTGGCAATATTAAAGGATTCTACGGGAAAAATACTGATCAACGCAGTAAGCATCAAAAGAAGATAGAAGGAATACACAAAGTCACTGTCCCAAAAAGAACTGATTGACGTTCAACCATTTCAGGAGGTAGCATATGATCAAGAATCAATGGTATGAAGGAAGAAGTCCCAGCTGCACTGAAGGCATTGGCAAAAAACAAGGCCCCAGACATTGATGGAATGCCAACTGAGATGTTTCAACAAACAAGCAGCACTGGAGGTGCTCACTCGTCTATCCGAAGAAATTTGGAAACAGCTACCTGGCCAACCAACTGGAAGAGATCCATATTTGTGCCCATTCCAAAGAAAGATGATTCAACAGAATGTGAAAATTATTGACCAGTATCATTAATACCACACGCAAGTAAAATTTTGCTGAAGATAATTCAGCAGTACATCAAAAGGGAACTGCCAGAAATTTGAGCCAGATTCAGAAGAGGACGTGGAACGAGGGATATCATTACTGATGTTAGATGGATTTTGGCTGAAAGCAGAGAATAACAGAAAGATGTTTACCTGTTTTTATAGACTATGCAAAGGCATTCAACTGTGTGGATCATAGAAAATTATAGATAACATTGTGAAGAATGGGAATTCCAGAACACTTAATTGTGCTCACACAGAACCTGTACATAGACCAAGAGGCAGTCATTCAAACAGAACAAAGGGATACTGAATGGTTTAAAATCAAGAAAGGTGTGCATCAGGATTGTATCCTTTGACCATACTTGTTCAATCTGTATGCTGAGCAAATAATCTGAGAAGCTAGATTGTATGAAGAAGAACATGGCATCAGGATTGGAGGAAGACTCATTCACAACCTTGCTTGCTGAAAGCACTTACTGATGAAGATCAAAGACTACAACCTTCAGTGTGGATTACAACTCAACAGAAACAAAACAAAAGTCCTCACAACTGGACCAATAAGCAACACCATGATAAATGGAGAAAAGATTGAAGTTGTCAAGTATTTCACTTTACTTGGATCTACAATTATCGCCTATGGAGGTAGCAGTCAAGAAATCAAAGGACGTACTGCGTTGGGCAAACTTGCTGCAAAAGACCTCTTTATAGTGTTAGAAAGCAAAGACGTCACTTGGAGGACTAAGGTGTGCCTGACCTAAGCCATGGTATTTTTAATTGTCTCATATATGTGCAAAAGCTGGACAGTGAATAAGAAGACCAAAGAAGAACTGATGCATTGGAAGTATGGTGTTGGCAAAGAGTACTGAATATACCATGGACTGTTAGAAGAATGAACAAACCTCTCTTGGAAGAAGTACAGCCAGAATGCTCATTAGAAGAGAGAATGGTGAGACTTCGTCTCACATACTTTGGACATGTTATCAAGAGGGACATTATGCTTGATAAAGTAGGGGGTCAGCGAAAAAGAGGAAGACCCTCAATGAAATGGATTCACACAATGGCTGCAACAATGGGCTCAAACACAGCAATGACTGTGAGGATGGCGTGGGACGGGGCAGTATTTCATTCTTTTGTTCATAGGGTCGCTATGAATCAGAATCAACTTGATGCACAACAACGTAATCTCTCAGTACAGAAAAACAATAAGCCCTGGAGCAGTACACCCTTCCAACGCTCAGTTAGACATATTTTACTAGCAAAGTTACAAAAACTTGTGATTAAAAAAAAAAAGTTTAACTACCATTAGAAAAACAGTTATGAAAAACATATTTTTAGTGACTTACATACAATAATCGGAAACCCTGGTGGCACAGCGGTTAAGAGCTATAGCTGCTAACCAAAAGGTCAGCTAGTTTGAATCCACCAGGTGCTCCTTGGAAACTCTATGGGACAGTTCTACTCTGTCCTATAGGGTTGCTATAAGTCGGAATCGACTCGATGGCTGTGAATTTGGTTTTAGTTTATATACAACATCCTAGTCTTTCAAATTTGTGACACTGGAAACTAGGCAACTTATAGAAAATAAAAATTATCAGTATGAAATTTCAGAAAAGTATTTTTAATTGACATGTAACGAAATGTAGGAGTTTTGACAAATGCATACATCTGCTTAACTCAAACTCCTGACTGAAACAGAATACTACCATCATCCCCAGAGCGTCCTCATGCCCCTTCCCAGTCAATCCCTGTCCCCAGCACCAAAGCAAGCACTGTTTTCATTTTTTTCTACCATAGATTAGGTTTTTTGTTTTTTACGACAGCTTTGTTGTTGGTGGTGGGTGCCATGGTGTCCTTCGGACTCATAGCGACCCTATGTACAACAGAATGAAATACTGCTCAGTCCTTCAGCATCCTCAAGACAATCATCGCTATGTTTGAGCCCATTATTGCAGCCACTGTGTCAATCCAGCTTTATTGTGATATAATTCACATAATATACAATTAACTCATTTAAAGTGTAAAATACAATGGTTTTTAATATATTCAGAATTGTGCAAAGATCACCACAATCAATTTTAGAACATTTTCATGATCTCAAAAAGAAGTCCCACACCCATTAGCAGTCACTTGTCATTTACCACCCAGCCCTAGGCAACCAATCCATACAAATTACTTAAAACAGTGCCTGGCAGACAGTAAGCACTCAATAAATATTAGTTACAATTATTATTCATAGTCAAGATAATTTCAAGAAGACTGAAATATTAACATTTTACTGATGACATGGAACTTTTTCCTTTCATCACATAACTTATCTGTCAGGCAAAGCCATGAGACCTACCTGCATTGCTGCATCACCTATTGCACGTCTGATTTCCCTTAAAGTTTGATACTGCTCCAACAGGTGATCACCACAGATGATATCTACCTATGGGCAAATACAAAAGTCAGATAGATTGCTTCCCTGCTTCAAAAACCCATCTGAAAAAAATGAAGAAAAATCAACACAATTATTCCAGACTAGACTTTGCTATTTTATTTTAGACTGATTAAATACTATTAAGAGAGGTTTTAAAAAACTTATGAAAAGGAAATAAGGTAACATGGAAAGACCATTAGAGGACACAGTAGTACAACAGCACACAGTATAACTGACGTTCAAAATGATTTCCATGAATCTCTGAGAACAAGTTCAATCATGTTCAATTACTCAATATAAAAAGGCACAGTAAATTTTTGAAAAATTTTCATGATAAAATGATTAAAAAAAAAAAAAGGCATTCATGCTTAAAAAGGCAAGCTACAGTTATTTGAAAAAATTCTCTTGTGGGGACTATCTCATTCTCCAACAATGCCATAAGTCAGTCTAATTATAACACTGCAGCTCACACTGAGGGAACTGTTTTATGGATGAAACAATCTCAAGGTCTTTTTAGCCCTCTAGATGTCAAAATGCTAAGATACAACTATTTTTATATAAAATTCTCTAGAAAGAATGACATTATTGTGTAGTTACTTGCTATACTGTAATAAGATTCCAGTATACTTACTTGCTAAGAGAGAAATGCAAATCTCTCTCACTAAGTGCCCCTCTCTCATTGCCTTAAAATAGAGTCAGGTCCTCAATACCTTATTAATAAATATCACTTAACTGGCTCAATCTCCTGATGTCCCTATTTAGTATATGGTATGAAATTTCTCTATCTTCTAAACTAGAATATAATCTGTGATTCCTCTTTCTCTCCACATGGATCAGTTACAAAGTCTTGTTGTTTCTTAATTCATAATATCTGACTCCTTATCATCCTTTCAACTGCTGCCCCAGGCCCAAACCACTGAAACCACATCCTAACCAGACTTTCTAGCTTCATATTCTGTTTACGCCAATAAATCCTACACACTGCCAACACGTTAATCTCCCTAAAGCCCTCAGTGTGGCTGGGAAGGAATAGTAAAAGCAGTTGCATTTAACTGAGCAGCCACTATGTATCACATGCTATATATGCATACTTGACAAACTTTATCTCATAAAATCCTCATACTTCTGTGAGCCAGGTATTATAATTCCCATGTGACAGATAGGGATACTAAGCGGTAAAGACATTAAACTTTGCCAAGGTCACAAAGGCAATAAATAACAAAGATCATATCTGAACTCAGGTCTGTCCCCAAGTGGTCTGCCTTTCTTCAAAGCCTAAGTGCTATCTAAGGGGCTGGCAACGTTTTTCTATTAAGAGTCAAATAGTAAATGTTTTCGGCTTTGTGGGCCATGGGATCTCTGGTGCATCTACTCAACTCTGCCATTGTAACATGAATGTAGCCAAAGTGTGGTTCTGTTTCAATAAAACTTTATTTATAAAAACAGGTTGTGGGCTATATTTGATCCACAGGCCATAGTTTGCTAACCCCTGTTGTATCTCATAATGAATATCTCAGATTATCACATAATCTCAGATTAGTGACAATTTTTGTTTTACTTTTACCAGTTTTAAAATTGGCAGAGCTATATTTGTTTGCAAAATGATTTAAAAGTAATGTCAGATCTTGAGCAAAGAATTTAGATCCATGAAAAATTAAAGAATTTAGAAACTATCATTATGTTTTTATTAAGTATTCAGCAACCCAGAGACCGTTGTTCTTTTTTTTATTGTTGTGCTTTAAGTGAAAGTTTACAATTCAAGTTAGTCTCTCATACAAAAACTTATACATACATTGTTCTGTGACCCTAGTTGCTCTCCTGATACTGTGACAGCACACTCCTTTCCACCCCTGATTTCCCTGTCCATTCAAACAACTCCTGATCCTCTCTGCCTTCCCATCTCGCCTCTGGACAGGAGCTGCCCATTTAGTCTCATGTATCTACTTGAGCTAAGAAGCACACTCTTCACGAGTATCATTTTATGTCTCATTGTCCAGTCTAATAATTGTCTGAAGAGTTGGCCTCAGGAATTGTTTTAGTTCTGGGCTGACAGACAGTCCAGGGGCCATGCTTTCTGGGGTTCCTCCAGTCTCAATCAAACCATTAAGTCTGGTCTTTTTGCTATAATTTGACTTCTGTACCCCACTTTTCTCCTGCTCCATCAGGGACTCTCGGTTGGGTTCCCTGTCAGGGTGGAGACCATTATTCTTACCGAGCTTCATCACATAGTATACATTTATGATTTGGTTACTGTATTTTTCTTTTCAACCTTGGATTCTTACCAATCTTTTTTTTTTTTTAGTTACTACTCTGTATAACAAATTCAAATAACATAGATGGGTTAACAATTTCAAAAAAAAAACATAAAAGGGCAGAAAGTAAAAAATGATAATTCCGCTCACACTGCAATCCCAATTCTCAGTGGTTAGCCAGTTACTAACAGTTTAACATGTATGCTCCTAGATGTTGTAAGTGCATGCGGGTTTTTTTTTTTTTTTTTTGGTTATTTTTACAAAAATGGGATCATGCTACATATACTGTTGTACAAATTTCTAAAGCAAAACAAAACTTAATACACCATATCTTTTAGAGTACATAATTAGCTCTCTCTATAATAGCTGCAAATTGTTACATTATATAGATATATCATAATATATACATCCATTCCCCTGATAAACAGTTAAATTGCTTTCAATTTTACATGCCGATTTTTAAAAGCTACCTGACTGTAAATATCTCCTAAATTACTTCATTCAAACAGAAAGTTACATCTCTTATTTTGGGGATCCCCAAGATGACCGCATGATCAAAGGAAGCACAGGAGTCAGCATAATCATGGCTAAGATTTATTAGAACAACATAGTAAGGATATATAGGCAGAGTCTGGAGAAATCCATGCATAGATTTACTATGCTCTCCCTTTCCAGTCCGGAGAAGACACATCCAGTGTACTCAATACAATACAATAATACTTCTGCATCTCAGAGCAGAAATCAGACTGTGAAGGTAGCCTTCTGAAGGGAGGAAAAACCCTTATCTTTTTAAAAGCAAGATCACACTAGAGCTTCCAAGATAGAATTTTTCACTGAATGTGCTTTACAAGACACACTGGTTCATTCCTCTCTGTTCATACATACTCTTTCCTTGGCTAGAAAGTTTTTTTTTCCTTTGTCCAACAGGCAAATTCCTATCTATTCTTCAAATCTATTCCTTGACTCCTCCAGAGTTAAAGCAGTCTCTCTTGTGCTATTTCTATTTTTGTATTCCTCATGGCTCATTGTCATTTAGTTGTTTACTTGTACATTTTCCCTACAAAACTCTGAGTCCCTGACACATGAATTTTCTCTCTCATCTTTGTACTCCTATGGCCAAGTATATAGATTCTCAATGAGTGCTTACTAAATAAACGAATGGTAGGATACATCATATCATATAGTCAAGTGTTTTGTTTCAATGATTTAGAAACCAAATTTAATAGGTTTAAGGTCATATACCAAATAAGTAATTAATAAAGAAAAAGACTCTATCTTTTAAGATGGAATTTGTTATAGCAGGATTAACAACGAAATCAAGTATGGTATCTTTTACATAAAGACTTTTTAGTGCTTAATGTGATGTACATTTTCTAAATCTTGTTTCATAAAAGCAAAATCAGGTCTGAAGATCAAACTATGTACAAAGGAACACAAATAACACCAGGGTAACTATTTATAATACAAAGTGCAACAAGGCATAAACCATGACTTGAAAATACCACTAAATCAGTCATGGTAATCCAGAGACACTGGGGTCTCTATCTGAAAGAAATCTATTCAGATAATTATTAACCTCTGAATTTGAATTAAGTCCTTCCTAAAAACACATGAACTGTATTTTTTCCCCCAGAAATGTCTTTCTTCTTTATTTTGATCTGCCAAAATAACTTTAAAAGTAGTTTACCATTTAATAGTCCCCACAAGACCCTGGTAATCCTTCAGTCCTGCTAGTAAATAATCTCATGTGAAAGTCACATAGCTGTAAAGAAAGTCAACACAGTAGGCTCAAGTGACTGAGGACACCAAGAATTTTATTTTGATTACTAGTTAACTAGCTCAATGTCTTGTTCATATTAGAAATAACTTATTTATTCTCTCTTGGCTTTAAAAGGCTTAAATAATTTTAGTCACAATTTAATGAGTCTGCTTATTTAATAATTTTCTGCATCATTATTTTAGCATTTTAGTAAAAACAGTAATTTATGAATATTATCAGCTATGTGGTACCTGAGTTGGGGAGGAATATTTACAGTAGCCAAGAACTGACAGAGTAAAGGTTGAAATAAATTTTATATCATCTTATTTCAAAATGTTAAACACCTTGAATTCTATGATACAAGGAAGAAAGAAACCCACATTTTTGCACAATAAAATCAACTCAATCAAATCTCTTAAAACACCAAATGTGAGACTTATAATAGTTATTAGTGCTCTGATCAATATCTAGCCGCACAGGAAGTAATCTACAACCTACAGAGGACCCGCTTGGGCATTACTTTTTAGTTATTCCAAACAATCAGGAGCAAGTCTTCTGACTTCTGTTTTTAGAAATAACTGACTGTTCACAGAAGGACAAATATTGTATAAGACCACTATTGTTAAAGAACTCAAGAAAAGGTTTAAACACAGAAGAAAACACTCCTTGATGGTTACAAGGGTGGGAACGGAGAAGAAGGGTTATTTACTAACTAGACAGTAGATAAGAATTATCTTAGGTGAAAGGAAGGACAGCACTCACTACAGGGGAAGTCAGCACAACTGGACTAAACCACAGCTAAGAAGTTTCCTGAATACAATCAAATACTTTGAGGGATAGAGTAGCAGGGGTAGGAGTCTGGGGACCATGCTTTCAGGGGACATAGAGGTCAACTGGCATAACAAAGCTTATTAAGAAAATGTTCTGCATCCTACTTTGGTGAGTGGCGTCTGGGATCTTAAAAGCTTGCAAGTGGCCGTCTAAGATGCATCAATTGGTCCAAATGCCCTGGAGTAAAGGAGTATGAGGAATACGAAAGACACAAGGAAAGTAGTAGCCCAAGAGACAGAAAGGGCCACATAAACCAGAGACTTCATCAGCCTGAGACCAGAAGAAGTAGATGGTGCCCGGCTACCACCAATGACCGCCCCGACAGGGAACACAACAGAGAGTGCAGCAGGAGAAAGGTGGGGTGCAGAACTCAAATTCTATTAAGAAGATGGACTTAATGGTCTGAGACTGGAGGTACCCCGGAAAGCATGGCCCCTGGATTGTCTATCAGCCCAGAACTAAAACAATTTCCGAGGCCAGCTCTTCAGACAGGGATTGGACTGGACTGTGGGACATAAAGTGATATTCATTAGGAGTGTGCCTCTTAGCTCAAGTAGATATAAAAGACTAAACGGGCAGCTTCTGTCCAGAGGTGAGATGGGAAGGTAGAGAGGGTTAGGAGCTGGTTGAATGGACACAGGGAATCAGGGGTGGAAAGGAAGAGTGTGCTGTCATGGTATGGGGAGAGCAATTAGAATCACATAACAATGTATGTATAAATTTTTGTATGGAAAAAAGTGAAAACAAAAGAAAGAAATAACTGACTGTTAAGGGATCACTCAATGGAGCCCTGGTGGTACAGTGCTTAAGTGCTCAGCTGCTAATCGAAAGGTCAGCAGTTTGAACTCACCAGCTGCTCTGCAGGAGAAAGATGTGGCAGTCTGCTTCTTAAAAAATTTACAGCTTTGGAAACCCTATGGGGCAGTTCTACTTTGTCCTGTAGGGTTGCTATGGAATCGACTCAATAGCAGTGGGTTTGGTTTTGGTTTGGAAAGGATCACTCACAATTCTTTCTCCAGGAGTCCCTGAACAGTCATCTATTTCTAACTAAAAGACTAGGAATAACCTCAAGTATGTTGTACCTATAAGATGATAGATTAAGTCATTTCCAGTTTTCAGCTGCCATGAAACACAATAAGCATTATATCAAGTCCAACAAGTCACATTTCATTGAATTTAATATATATCTAATATATATTTAGTGCCAGTAGACATATTGGTACTGAAAACTCCAGCAAAATTTCAATCATTGTTTTAAAACATTAACTTAATCAACAGCAAATAGGGCATTTTAGATAAAAATTATTCTATGAAATTTTACACAGTGATGGAAATAACAAAACTCCCTTTTAAATTTAATTAATAAAAAAGTAAAGCTACATAAATGTGTCATTTTCACTAGGTACCCAGAACTTAGGACTATGAGTAATTTATAATTCATGTTCATCAACACATGAAGTTTGAGGTTAGTCTTAGAACAACAAAACATTATACATCTGGAATAGGAGATCTTTCTCAACCCTTAAAAAACTAATAGGGTCTATATTAGATAGCTAAATAATTTCACTTTCTAGGTGTCCTGAGCTTGCTTGTTATACTTGAGCAAGTATAACAACAATGCAAGGATGTCCTCTGAAGAGAAGTGGATGATAAGTAATCTTTTACTCTAACTTCTGTCATCAAAACTGAAAGAGCTGGAACTTTTGGCCCTTGAAGCCCTTTATTACTTCTCACATCCTCAGCTTTTCTCTAACTCCAACAGATGGTCATCAGTGGCAGTGAGAAATAGCCAACAAGTCAAATGTGGTTAAAATTAGGGACTAACCACCTGTGTGTCAATATTCAATTATATTTACAATGTCTACAATATCAAAAAACAAAAGAGACAGCATGAAATCCTATAGACAGCCATTTCTTCAATATGCTAAAGGTAATCTCGCAATTCTACCCGTCCTTTATACCTATATACTGTACCTGACAAGCTGGATCAAGGCCCATTTTTCTTCTGAGGAATTTTTCCACATGCCCAATAGTTGCTTCTCCTGAAACTCGGACAAACTTCTTTTCCAATGGCTACAAAAAATAGATAAAACCACTTTCATATTAAGTATGTATTTAAAATGTACAAACCATAAGGCAAGTTATAGCAAAGATGATCTAATAAGACTTATGAAAGAAAAATTACTATAAAATTTGAATTTACCTATCAAAGACAAATAAAAATTCTGCTTAGCTTCCCCTCTTTGAAAAGTATACCAACTTTTTTTTTTTTTTTTTTAAATAGAAAGGCTGGTTGGTTTATTTTAATACCTCATCAAAAACAAAATAAAACAAAACTCAAGAGTAAAATTTATTCATTCAATCCAAGCACTAAATTTACACTTGTAAAACAGAGAGAGAATACCCAAGATTAAATGTCTAAAACAACCTGGTTTCTTCAACAAACTGGGTTTAAAAGTAGAAATTAGTGCTTATCCAGCCACTCTCTCCCTGATACTACCATCTAACACAAATGAAAAGGTGAGGCAATCAGGAGAACTAAAAGATACCTTTTAGGAAAACTTGAGCAATGTTTTTCTAGCACCAGTAGAGTCAGAATTGACTTGACAGCAACTAATAACTAACAACAACAATAAAGCAGAGACAGCTTGTAATGGCTACCATTTTTTTTTTTTTTTAAATAATAATACTCAGCTTTCTTATCTGTAGTTGGGTTTCTTAAGACCTTTCCTGACTATATAGATCTATCCCATATTGTCACAATATAGCAGATAGCATAGGTGTTAAGTACAGGTACTCCGGAGACACACTGCTGGGGTTCAAATCCTGATTCTGCCATTTTCTAGATGCAAGTTTTTGGGCAAGTTGCTAAACCTGTTTCCCCATAGCAAAATATAGATAATAACAGCACCTATCTGATAGAATTATCATGTGGATAAACAAGTTAATATATGTAAATATATTACATATATTTTAATACATGTAAATAACTAAGAACCATTCCTAGCACAAAGTAAGCACTTAAATAGTTATTACTGTTGTGCTGTGAGCCAGTTTGTTGAAGAAGATTTGTATCATTTTGCTCTTTATGTGAACGATATTAACCCTTACAGGGAGCTCAGTTGTCACCATGGGACAGCGGTATGATCTAGACAAAAATGGCAAAGTTCTCAAGTTCTTTTAATGCAGGTATAGGAATCATCTCACGAAATGAAAGCAGACTCACTGAGAAGACACAGCAATGCCCCAAATGAAGTCCCCTCACTGCAGGTGACACTGCCTGATTAGCATGAGAATCCCATCAGATGACTTGAGAAACTCTTATCTTATAGATACTCTAACTAAATGCCTGCTGGCCAACTGGTGCATTTCTGAAGGTCAATGTCCAGAGTTTGCTATCTCAATTGCAGGCTTCATGTATACCTGCAGAGGAGAATCTAGTTTCTCTCATTTCTAAATTCTTGATGGGCACCTCAACCTTGCCTCAAGTGCTTGTTAAAATTAATTTAATTTAGCTTAAGCTGTAATTCTTATATCAGCCAGAACAGAATTATGAAATGTGCTAATACTTGAAAGAAAAAAAATTAGTCTCAGCTTCAAAGCTAGGGTTCTGATATTGTTAACCTTAGTCCTCATAGACCATCCTCACAAGCTAAGAGAAGTATTTTCTCCCATTTAATTTGAATCCAGCTTTTTTAGAAGACAATTTGTTCTTTTTACCAGAGATTATAAAACCAGTTCACAATTAGATGGTTAACTCATTATTTTTCCTCTACAGCTAATAGCCTCCCCTACCACCTGCAAATAAACAGAAAAAAAAAAGCCCCATAGAAGAATTATACTTCTTTGAAATTAAGTACAGCAATCTTTCCTGCCATCTATAATACAAAAAGTTTATTTAATAAGAAATTTGAAATAATAAGCTAGTCTAAGATGTAAAGGGAAATTTTAAAAAATCAGTTATTTCTGTCATTTGATAATATATGTCACTGAAAATGTCTTTTAAAAAAAACAGTATCAACTCATGATACATTTTACCTTGAAAAAAATTTCTACCTCTGTCAACTGAAAAGGCCTAGAAACAGTGGCCAACCCAGTAGTAATGTGAACCATTAAGGACCAGATTGTGATTTCGAAATACCAATCACCACCAAAAGGAACTAAAAAAAAACCCATTGCCATCAAGTAGACTCTGACTCCTAGTGACCCTATAGGACAGAGTAGAACTGAACCCACAGGGTTTCCAAGGAGCGCCTGGTGGATTCGAACTGCTGAGCTTTTGGTTAGCAGCCGTAGCTCTTAACCACTACGCCACCAGGGTTTCCAAAAGGTACTAGGACTTGGAGAAATTACTAACTCCATGTCTGGGGCAAGAGATGTACAAGTTAAGCATGGAACATCTTGACATATCAGATAGCAAGGTAGCTATCATAGACTCCGATATCTATAATAGGATGATTTGAACATCAGTAAGGATAATAACTGAAATAGATTAAACCACAAACATGTTTAAATCCATGAGTTTACAATAAACTAAAAACAAAACAACAAAATCTAATTGGTGACAACTGGAGTATGCTAGTGAAACGCTCATTATTTTGAAAGCTGATAAATATAGGGGAAAAAAAAATCAAACATTTATCATGCCTTTCCTATATGAATCATAACACTGGGTAACTAAACAGACAAAGGAAAGTTTCTCTTTATAGAAGTATTTTAACTAATAAAAGAAGAAAGAATAATAGCATTGCTTTTCAACTCCTAGTAAATCAAGATTTAGACACTGAGATCAATGGCTGCTAACCTTACAAAGCAACCAGATATTATGTGCTTCCTGAGGAAAGAAAGCAAAAACACCTATGAAATATTCTTGCTCCTTCTAAATCAAACCTCAATCTCATCAACACTCAGATTTAACTACCAGTTTTTGGGAAAGATAGAGGATAGAAGAACATGTTAAATTATACCACAGAGATGCAATAGCAAAATCAATCTGTAGAAAACTACAGGACAAATGACTTGGTTTCAACAACGAATTGCAAGAAAAAAGAAATAGAGAATGCACAGATTTAAAGATCTACAAAGCAACTGAGACAATTAAAAATTTGAACAGACTAGATATTTCATGAATTGTTTTTTTCTTTCATACCTCATCTCCAACTTTTTGACAAACGACAAACTTACAAAAGTTGTAAGAATAGTACAATGAACGTCCAGATACCCTTCATCTAGTTCACCAACTGCTAATATACTGCTGTATTTTGCTATACTTGCTTTATTTCTAACTATGTGTATAAGTGTATATACATATATATATACATATACCCACATATATATATATTCACCCCCCCAGACCATTTGAGAGTAATTAATAGACACCAAGATATTTTATGCCTAAATACATCAGCAGGGATCTTCTCAGAATAAGGGCATTCTCCTACATAATTACAATACAATCAGTAAATTTATAGAGGTTTTGAGGAAATTTAACATTAATAAAGTTATCTATATACATCCATATTTAAACTTCTCTAATTAACAATATCCTTTATAAGCTGTTCTTATTTCACTTCAGGATCTAATGAATAATCACATATTGCATTTAGTTACCATGTCCCTTTAAACTCCTGTAATCTAAAAGTCCTGCCACCTTATTTTTATCTTTAATTACGACATTTTTCTTGTATTAAACTGTAATATATTTTTTATTATTTTATTGTGGTAAAATATATCTAACATAAAATTTTCCATTTTACCCATTTTTAAATATACAATTTAGTAACATGAATTACATTCATCATGTTGTATATTCACCATCACTATTCATTTTGAAAAGTCACCCCAAACAAAAGTTCAGTACTCATCAAGCAATAACTCCCCATTTTTCCCTCCCCTCAGCCCCTGGTAACCACTAATTGACTATGGTCTCTATGCATTTGCCTATTCTAGATGTTTTAAATAAGTGTAATCATACAATATTTGTCCTTTTGTGTCTGGTTTATTTCACTTAGCATCATGTTTTCAAAGTTCTTCCATATCGTAGCATGTATTAGAATTTCATTCCTTTTTCTTCTGTTTTAATAATTTATTTTCTTTTTGTTACTGTTGTTGTAGAGAATATAAACAGAACATACACCAATTCAACAATTTCTACATATACAATTCAGTGACACTGATTATTTTTAAAGTTGTGCAACCCTTCCTCACCCTCATTTTCCAAATTGTTCCCCCTCCATTAACATAAACTCACTGCCCCGTAAGTTTCCTATCTAATCTTTCAAGTAGCCATTGTCAATTTGATCCCTTACAGACAGTTCTTTAAAAAGGGCACAATGCTCAAGGCAGACATTGTTTGCTAATTAAACTAATCTGTTGTTTGGTTTAAGACTTCAGGGAATATTTCTGGAACACAGTTCGACTTTGACACACATGGGGCTGCCATGAGTGAGAGTCAACGCTACAGCAACTGGTTTGGTTTTAGAAGTATACGATCCAGTACTTGTCCCATATAGAAATTTATCTGCCATTTCACACCTACCATACTGCTATGGAAGAAATTCCTAACGTTTGTCACCATTAGTTTGATATTTTACAATTTTACCAAAAACCATGGTGTTAACTTGACACTGATCTCTGGAGGACAGCTATAATATACTTCATCCAGAGACATAACTATGTATGTGCTTTAATTCACATCTGTGAGCCAGTGTATTTATAAGACGAAATAGTATGCCCAACCAGGTAAAATTCACCCAACTTTTAGTATAAACTTTGACAAAGCCACTGAAAATCTGAACAGATTTTCCTTATATATTTATAATCTGAAGTAACTATAAGGCCCGATTTTCCCCCCTTAAAAAAGTTACCTTTTCCTGAACAACTCATATTATAGTAGCAACACTGTGTACAATGGCACCTGTGATTTTGGAGCCTTTCAGACAACTCTGAAGTTAAGTATGTTACAAAGGAGTCCATTCTTACCTCTAAAATCTCAGTAAATGATTGAAGTAACAAGTCAGGGCAGGTTAATTTGAGCCAAATATATTACATGCAAATAGAATTTTTAAGCTCATATTAACTCTAAATGCCAACTATGTAAAAAATGCTTTGAAACATTTTTGTCATCAAATTAACATAGCATTTGACTTCAGAGTTTTAAAGATTACTCATTTCTTTTTCCTTAGACTACTGTTGTGAGTTAATAAATCCCTAGTGAATAAGTCTTTTTCCCTATAAACCTATTATAAGAGAGCATTACTGAATGTATTTCATATTTCAGTAACGTTTACGTACAAAATATTCTTTATTGTAATTGAAGACAATCTCCCTATGGCTGCTAATCTGGCTCTGAAATTTGTGTGCTATAGAGTCCTCTTGTGAAATGAATGAAAATGAAAAATAAAAGTAAAATACCTTAAAATGTCCCGTGCCTTCATTAGCACTGAAAAATGAGAGCAAAATTAATCAATATTTAATATTTTAAACTATATGTTTAATTATATAACAGAAAAATAATGTAATATAAATATTTGAGGAACATCAATTTATTTTAAAATTTCAGACAGTCACCTAACCCTTTATGAAATAAAACTTAGTTAATTGTTTGTCATTTCTGCCACCTACTGGTAAGACGAAGGCAGCTTTCTCCAATATTATACACTACCTTCAATACTTAATTTCAGGAATTAAAAGTAATTCTTAATATTTAGATTTTCCCCACTTTCAGTATTCTAACATTTTCCAGCTTAAAATCTAACTTATTTTTTAAAATATAACAAAAATATTTTTTCTCCATAGTAACCTTTACAAGGTAAGATTTCTTATAAGAAGGCTGTTGCATTTTCCTTGCTGAAAAATTGCCTAGTCATGATTTTACTCAGTTTGCCTTTCACACAGAAGCCCAAAGAGATTTCCCGACTAAATCAATTGTTTTTATGTCACGAAGGAGAACAAGGGGCATTAACTTTTGTTGATCATCTACTATATACCAGGTATATTAGGTCTTCTATATTCTGCATGTATTTAATTTAGCCTTTAGTCTACAATAGTCCTGCAAATTAGGCATTAGTATCCCCATTCTACAGATAAGGAAAATTAAGCTCAGACAGGTTTAATAACTTGCCTAAGGTTATAGAGCTAATAAGTGATAAAGCTGGGATTCAAATTGAGGTGTGCCTAGTATCAAAGCCCATGTTCTTTCTTCCCTACCATGTTGTGAAGAATAGGGTTTGAGCATAATAACTGTGTAACAATATAAATAACATTATATAAATATATAAAATACACACATATAAACATAAATCTAAGAGAGTTATAGAACATCCTTCATTACAAGAATTCTCTGTACAGAATTCATGACAAATGGCATCTAGCTTCTGTTTGAATACCTAAAGAGAAGCAAATCAACCCATTCCATTTGTGTGCAACTTTGTTAGAAATTACTTGCTTATACTGAATCAAATATGTTTCTCTGTAACTTATATCTACTGGTATTACTTTTGCTTTTTGGTATTCTTGTGAATTAAATCCAGTCTTTCTTTTATGTGATAATCCTTTAAAGATCTGAAGTTAACTTGAAGGACTTATGGTTTCTTTCTCTTTTCTAGACTAAAGATTGTTTGCTCCTTCCATTACCATACATGACACAGTTTTCTGACCGTTTATTATTCTGGTTATACCTCAGTTTACCAACATCCTCCTAAAACTCTAGTTGGACAAACACAGGATAGAGTGGGATATTACTTCCCTGGTTTACTAAATATCTTTGAGCTGAAGATTGCATTCAGTTTTTGGCACAAATATCGCACTCATCTCACATGAGATAATTTTCTTTAGTGTGTAGAGGTTGTACGTATTACAGCACCATGGACTACTTTAACCTTTATTTTTTAATGAAACTGCAAAATTTCAATATTTATATATTGGTAATAGCTTAGCCATGTTAAAAATACCATATGTTGATTCTTACAACAATCCCGTGAGTTGCTTTTATAATCCCCATTTTAGAAATATGGAAACTAATGATCAGAAAGGTTAAGCTACATCCCAAAGGTTACATACCTTGAGTTAGACTCTTCAAAGCCTATGCTCTTTCTACACACTATACTGCCTGTCTGAGGCTATTTCTTTTTATAATCTTCCACTTTACATGGAGAAACTGAAGAACAAAAAGAAGTAAGAAACTATCTTAAGATCAAAAAACATGTATATCCAATTTGGGGGGAAATGTGATTTCATATTCCAGTGACTGAAAAATTACTGCCCACAGGCTGAATCTACTTCAGTTTTTTTCTCTACTCCAATTTATGCAGAATCACGAGCTGGACCAAATTTGCGAGATCAGGTTGAAACGCATCTGCCACTTGTCCTGCCATGAAAGAGCTTCCCATGGTTACCCCCAGTAACCTGACTTTTATGGTAACACTTATGCTTTTCCATGTAGTGAAAACTTGGGGATTTAACTCTGGGAACTGGTAACTTCAAAAAGACTCCTTGCCATTCTAAGCCCCGCCCCCCATAGCCATTTGAGGAGCCCTGCTGGCCCAGTGGTTAAGAGCTACAGCTCCTAACCAAAAGGTCGGCAGTTCAAATCCATCAGCTGCTCCTTGGAAACCCTATGCAGTTCTACTCTGTCCTATAGGGTCACTATGAGTGAGAATCGACTCAAGGGCAACAGGTTTGGTTTGATTTATAACCATTTGAAAAGAGATAATAGACAATATTATGAGGTACACAGAATACCCATCATAATCATCAAACATATAAGGTTCAATCCTCTCATTTTACAAATAGGGAAGCTGAAGCTCTGAGAAGTTAAAACTGAAAATTCCATGAGGGCAAGGACCATGATTGACTTATAAAACTATACTCTTGAGCACCCAGCACAGTGCTGAGACATAGCAGGATCTTAATAAACATCTTATGAATAAACAAAAGGTAATTTGTTCAAGGTTGCAAAGCTAGAAAACAGTAGAGCTAGGACCTACATCCAGATGGTCTTATTCCAAGTCTGAGCTTTCCACTACAGCAGAAACTGTGTTAATAATGTAACAATTTTGGTAACTGGTAACTATTGCCTTCAGCATTGTGGTCAAGTCTCACTCATTAGGGAAGCCAGTCATGATTAATTACTGATTTCTGCTGTGGGCAAAGAATGAGGTAATAGTGGCACCAAACCAATCAAAACCAAACCCATTGCTGTCGAGTCGATTTCAATTCATAGTGACCCTATAGGACAGAGTAGAACTGCCCCATAGGGTTTCCAAAGAGCAGCTGGTGGGTTTCAAACTACCAATCTTTCGGTTAAGAGCCGTAGCTCTTAACCACTGTGCCACCAGGGCTCCAGTAGTGGCATATCCACCCTATATTTTCCATCCTTGCATACCAGTATGCCTCTTTTCAATCAAGGTATAAAAAGTTGACTTGCCAGTTCCTACTGTATATTAGTAGAAAAGGTCACATTTCCCTCCCAAATTTTTTAGAAATATAATACCTTTCAATTTAAAAGTTTTAATTAACTATCTTTATTAAAATATTACTAAGTCATGTGGTAAAATTCAAACAATGAAAAGTAAGATTTTTTCTCATCCTACACTGAGATTCCAGTGCCCTTTCCTAGTGGCAACTACCATTATTAACATTTTCTCATATAACCTTTCAGGAATGGTCTGTGCATATAAAGAAAACATGTAAAGACACATATTTTCTGCCATCCTCTTAAAACACACACACACATACATACACCACACACACAAATGGGGACATGCTATATATTCTCTTCTGCATTTTGCTTTTTTCACTTAACATTTAGATCAATATATATATTAATACATAATTAAGGACCCCTGGTGGTGCAGTGATTAAGAGCTTGGCTGCTAAATGAAAGGTCTGCAGTTCAAACCTACCAGCTGCACTGAGGGAGAAAGATGTGGCAGTCTGCTTCTGTAAAGATTACAGCCTTGGAAACTCCAAGGGGGCCGTTCTGCTCTGTCCTATAGGATTGCTACGAGTCGGAATCAACTTAACAGCAATAGGTTTGATTTTTTTTGTTAATATATAATTAATATATTATTAGTATTGTTTCATGTCAGCACATACAGATCTATCTTATTCATGTGTGAAAATACTATTATTCAACCAGTTCCATTCTGGACATTTAAGTTGGAACACATTCTTTAGTAATGGAAATTGCTGATTTAAATTTTGGAATTACATGGTTTCTTCTCACTCCTCCAAAGAGATCTTTATTTCATTATCATCACCCACTACTATGTGGTAAATTCTGGGGCTTCGTAGAAGCATAAGAGAGGTTTCCTGCCTCTTATAAGTTCCTAATATTATTAAGAACATAAAATAAAAAGGTAAAGAGATAAATACAACATAGCACAAGCTAGATATTAAATAAATGATATACGCAACCTAGAGTTGAGGAAATGACTGAGAAGTAAAATAGTCGCCAGGAACACAAAATGGAATATATAGATTTTCCAAGAAGGCATTTTATTCTGTGAACTATAAGTATTTTCAAAAAACTATAGCTTGATACATGCCAACTTTGTGACCATGACAGACTGTTTAACAATGTTGCAGTATAATAGAATACACCATATGTTACAGTGTTTAAAAGAAGCAATTTATTTCAATTAAAAAGATGTCCAATTACTTTGGAAAACAATTTGGCAGAATCAAGTAAAGCTAAAGATGAACATATCCTAAGACTCAGCAAGTCTACACCCTTAGCGAAACCACACTACATATGCATGAGGAGATATGTACAAAAATGTTTACAGCAACCTTGTTTATAAAAGCAAAAAATTGAAAAGAAACTAAATGTTCAACAATATAAGAAAAGACAAATTGTGGTGTATTCATTCTAATGGAGTATCATGCAATAGTGAGAATTCCAACATGGATGAATCACAATATTGAGTGAAAAAAGCAGTTGCAAAACACACAGTATGATACTATTTAAATATTAAATGGGCAAAACCAATACTACGTATTGCTCAGAATAGATACACATGTAGTAAACATGTAAAGAAATGCAAGGAAATGACAAACACTACTTTTAGGAGAGTGGTTATTAACCTCTGAGGGAAGGGGGAGTGAACAGAAAGAGGGATCCAAGGAGCTTCAGCTATATTAGTAATGGTTTATGACTTAAACCAGATGGTGGGTATACATGTGGTTATTGTACTACTCATACTTTTTCTGTGTCTTAAATATTTCATAATTAATTTTTAAAGGGATGTCAGAAAAACCTGGTTTTACCTGAGTTCAGGAAGATTTCACAACTGTTGGGACTTAAAAATATTTTATTTGAAGGTTAAGAAGTAGATTTTTAGGGTACTCACCCAATGAACTCCAGTAATAAAGACATGTCAAGTTCGGGTGGAATACGAAACACTGATTCCAGGGGTTTCTTAGATCTTCCTTTGCTCGAAGGAACTGGCTGTGGAACAGCTATTTGACAGCCAAATAAAAAAAGTTGAGTAAGAACAAAAATTTCATAATTTGAGATCTTTGAAAAATAATTACACAGGTATTATAACTATGCCAACTATTTAAAAGATCATAAAGCACTCCATCTCCCTTTCATTAATAACATCAGCCGAACAGTCAAAGTCAGTGAAATTAGAGGCAAGACTAGGGACCACTCTGAAATGGAAAATGGACACGTACGGCCGGCATAAGAAAGTCATCATAACAGCAACAACAGTTATAGATAACCCTTACCAAGTACTACTACACGGCAGGGCTCACGCTCAGCACTTTACATCTACCAACTCATTTAATCGTCATTATAATCCTATGATATAGGTGGTGGTTGTTGTTAGTTGCCATCAAGTCGATTCTGACTTATGGCAACCCCATGTGTGCAGAGGAGAACCGCTTCACGGGGTTTTCAATGCTGACTTTTCAGAAGCAGACTGCCAGCCCTGTCTTCTGAGGTGCCTGAGTGGATTCAAACTGCCAACTTTCAGCTAGTAGTTGAGCTCTTAACCATTTGTACCACCCAGGGACTCCATATAGGTGGTGCTACTGCTCTTTTTTTTTTTTTAACTGACAAAGAAACTGGGGCTTAGTGAGGTTAGGCAGTTTGCTTAAAGTCACCCAAGTATTAAGTGGAAGAGCCAGAATTTACCCAAATCTGACCATCGTCTTGAAAACCAATGTTTGAGAAGTTATTATGTGCAAGGCACTGTTTTATGTGCTTTATATTACTCAATGTACCCTTACAACAATTTTATGAAGTAAGTACTATCATTATCCCTATACTGAATCAGAGACATTGAAGTAATTTGTCAAAGTCACACAGCTAGTAAAGTGGCAGAGCTGAGATCAAATTCAGGCAATCTAGCTCCAAAGCCTGCACTCTTTAATTTTTATAAACAATTAAAATGGAGTACACCACAACATCATCTTCAAAATCTCCCTTTCTTTAATCATACAATAACTAGCTATCATCAAGCAGCACCTCAAAGGGAGTAAACTTTATTAAATTAGTATTCTTTAATGTATAAATATATTATGGCATACACCCAAACTTACCAGGTTTAGGCACTTCTAGACCTCTTTCTTCATAGAAATCATGCATTTGCTTTTTTTCTCCTAAAAAATAATAAAACACAGACTAAATTACACTTTAAATGTAACTAGTGGAGTCAGTAGAGATTCTGGGATGCACAACTGTGAATATAAGAAACTTACTTTCCTCTAGATTGATCACTAATTTGTATACTATGTCTTGTAACTGTCGGTCCAACCTAATAAAAAGAAAGGATGGAGAACACCTCAGAATTTAGAAAAACGCATTCTGGTACAGAGCAAATGATGCTCTTTGTAGGTAACAAACTTTTTTCTTGAGTAGATTTCTCCTTTCTCACAGGTTAGTTACTTTCAGGTAGCATGCATGACGCCTAAGATATAACTCACCTGAAAGAATCTCAAGTAATTATAAATTAGCAGGTAATCATGGACTGTCTTGAATAGTTCACTAAACTGTTTGACATGTACTGGTCTTATACCCACCCCATAAGAATGTGAGCTTGAAGGCAAAGACTATTTTGAACTCCTTTGTATCATCTGCAAAGCACTCTTCCATGAAGATAGTAAAAATGTAACAGTATTTGCTGAATGAATACAAGATATTTACTTGTAGGATTTTTCTTCTTTTAGAAGGAAATCTGAGCATTGGATGCTCAGGAACTGAAAACTTGATTAATAAACCACAATGACCCATGACAGATAGTCTTTTCTAAAGAGAAACCAGTCACTTCAAGTATTACCTGTTTTTTTAAAAAAAAATCTTAATATACTGAAATGAGCCTAAACTAGCCTTATTATCTTGAGTGATGGTATTAAAATACTCTAGATGTCTGTATCTCATTTTTTAAAAACAGTCCCCAGCAGATAGCACAGTGCCTGGTACACAGTAAATGCTCTATACATATTTCTTAAAAGAATAAGTAGTACCCTTTCTTCTAATTTTAAGATAGGTCAAGAATTTATTCCCAACTACACAACTGCAAGCCTTCAGAAAAAGTATATTTAAGACATAAATTTTACTTAGACGTTCCTCTTACCTTATGTTATATAGAGGTTGTGTCTGATGTACTACTATGTTGCATTTTGGACATCTGTTGCTATAGTAAAAATGTCTTACAATGCAGCTTTTACAAACTGTTGAAAAACAAAATTTTTAATTAGGATGCCTGAGAGACATTTCTAAAACTGAAAATATATGCAGAAATGTGAACCGTATGCTTACAGGTATGAAGACATTCTGTAATGGTAGTTGCATCTATCAAGTAACCCTTGCAAATGGAACACAAGATGTATGGGGTCAGCTCAGAGAGGTTAATCAGGCGCTGCAAATGCAATGGAAATAGTCTTAAAATACAAGTCCTTGCTTTCTCACATTCTTAAACCATAATTTCAAATGTTATTATAAACAATGTGTCACTTAATTTGCAACATGAAAACATGTTATACTACCTCCAAACCGTCAAAATACTTAAGTTACAATGACACAATATAAACCAATGTTTCAAAAGGATCTTATCCGCCTGGATATAATGTATATCGCCAGATGAAGGGCACCTTACTTTATGAATTACTTATAAAATGGCCAAGCTTTCCAGATACTGGTGTTCGAGTTTAATAAATTAATTCTGGTTAGGCGTATTATCTAACTCGACAAAGTACGTGCTACCACATTAAAAAAAATCCTTCCAATTACGGACGGAACAGGTGGTGAAGGGTTTCTCATCCTCCCAACACCTTGCAGAAATGGACTGTTTACTTGTTTCCCTGGTCTGGCTTTAAGAGTACGGAGGGGCAGGGACACCGTTTTTATCCTTGGCGCCTTGCCCAATCTCCAGGCACGTTGTTGCTGATGTTGTGTGCCGTGAGTCAATCCCGACTCGTAGCGACCTTGTAATGGTCTTAGTAACTCTTCACAAAATGAGTGAGCAGGAGGACCCGAGAACCTAAGTCACCGCAGGAACTTCACAAAACAAGTCGGCGGGGAATCGGGACGGGACAGGTCGGTCCGCGCCACACGCCTGGGCAGGCGAGGCCGGGAGGGGCGGAGGTCGCCGCAAACGGCCTGGCCAAGCAGGGGCTCTAAATACCTCCTCCTCATCCTCCGAGTCCGGCCGGCCCTCCAGCCTCAGCGAGAAGTGGCCCATCTCTTCCTCCTCCTCCTCCTCTTCCTCTTCCAGCTCCTCATCCTCCTCCAGCTCCTCGTCCTCGTCCTCGAAGCCGCCTCTCAAGCGACCCAGGCCGCGCTCTGGCTCCAGCTCAGGGGGCCGGGAGCCCGAACAGCCGGGAGCCCCCGCCTCGGGCAAAGGCGGGGGGCCCTCCTCGTCGACGGCGGGCGCCGGGGTGAGGGCCGGCGGGGAGGCGGGAGGCGGGGGCGGCGTCGCGGTGGCTCCCTCAGCCTTAGCGGCGCCCGTGCTGCCCGCCGCGACCCCCTCCATGTCCCCGGCTGAGGCGAGGTGGCCGGATAGCGCGGGAGTTCGGCGGGCCGCCCTTTGCTGCCAGTGCGCAGGCTCGGGGGCCTGCAGGGACCGCTGGGAAATGTGGTTCAATATTTCTTACCTAGTCCAAGGTGCGCCTCAGGTACACAGGGCGGGGCAAGCGGACCTTACCTTTTTAAAGGAACCTTACCTCATTTTTCTTTTGAGAGGCTTGTCGCTCTTCACTGCCTTTCAAAAACAACGAAATTGCTACCAATGAAGGCAACAACATTCTGTCAATATAAACCCATTTGCGTTTCAGCACTGAACTAGGTGCTGAATGATGCTGCATTACGAATAATACTGATTTCAATTTGAGTATCAATTACGCATTTCAATTACGCATGGAGGTGGAAAATCACCTCCATGCAAGATTATTTCCATTAAGAAGTATGAAGTTCAAAAAATAAAAAATGATAGCTGACAGCCAGATAGTGAGGGAGGAGCAGGGAAAAAGTACTCAATATAGACATAAGAAATAAAAAAATCATAAGGGTCTGGGGCCATGTAGCCTTCATCCCATTACCCTCTCCCACCACTATCCCTAAAGGCATCAGCATACAAAATATTCAAAGGCACAGTTCAATATCCCTAATTGTAGCCCAAATGCCCCAAGCCTCACCGGCTTGGTGTTACAAAATAAAGCTGCTCTTCCCCCATATTCAAATTTGATTCTGAATTCATAAGACTTAGGTTCATTGTGAAAGGTTGGAGGTTGGAGTCCACCCAGAGGTACCTCGGAAGAAAGGCCTGGTAATCTACTTCTGAAAAATCAAAAGTTAAAAAGATTTTTAAAAAGTATGAAGTTTCTATTGAAACATGTAAATTTATTATTTGGAGGAATTATATCTTGTATTGCTACAAGATGGAAATCTGATCTGCAGTCAAGGACTTTCCATGATTCCCCATCACATAAAGAAAAGTCAATTCTACTTAATTCAACAAACATTTATTGAGGGTCTACTGCAGCAGGAACTGAAATCATCTCACACACTCCCTCTCCCCATTTTTAATAGGTGAGAGATTTGGAATTGGCACAGCTTATTCCTGCTGATTAGGATAATGCTAGCTAATGTCATTATTCTTGCAAGCCAGATTCAGGAAGGAGTCTAATGCTCCTAATCACAAAAATGCTGAGGACAAAATCAAAACTCATATTTAAGACAAGATTGTGTTGTCTCTGAGTAAAGTTAATGCTAATATGGGAGTAGTGTACTTATTTCTTAACAGGTCTCTGAGTGGCACAAATGATTTGCCTTGACTACTAATCTAAAGGTTCGCAGTCTGAACCTATCCAGCGGCGCTGTGGAAGAAAGGCCTGGCAATTGGCTTCTGTAAAGATTACAGTCAAGAAAACCCTATGGAGCAGTTCTTTTCTGTAACATGTGGGGTCAGCATGAATTAGAGTCAACTCTAAAGCAATGGGTTTGGTTTTGAACTTATTTCTTAGAGAACTGGTAAGGAAATCAAGTTCCTCAAATCAATTCTTTAATCAATCAATGAGGAAATCAATTAATTCTAGTTCGGGGAAAACTGAACCAGGCTTGGTACACCCACTGTTCCTTGACCGCAGCCCCTTCACTTGCTTCAAAGTCCCCAAAGTCTGGTCACACCTGAGATATTGAAGTTTGCAAGACCCAAGAAGGAAGAAAGGAAATAACTCCCCCTACACGGAGGGGTGTAGATCACACAGGGAGGAGGATGAGAACTGGTTTAGGGTATTGAAAGAAGACGGTCGAAGAGAGAGAAAGATTAAAACAGATAGACCTAGACACAGGAGAGGCCTAAGTCTGTAAGAGCTTCCTCACAATTACATTAAAGTTGCAGTGTCTAACCTTTCAACATTGTAAGAACTACCTGACAAAGGCCTAAGTCTCTAAGACCATCCTCATAATTACATCAAAGTCACAGCGTCTAACCTTTCAACATTGTAAGAACTACCTGGCAAAAGAAGTACATCTATAGTGCATTTTGTGTGCATTTTATTTGTATAATTTTGAAGTAGTATAATATGAAAATATTAGTAAAGATTTATTTTATGTGGGAAATGTGAAATATTGAAAATCCCCAAATTAAAAAAAATATGATCGAGAAATTGCATATCTTCAAAGCTGGCAAGCCATTGGGTAATGTCAGTTTAGTTGGTAAACAGAAATATCTTCAGGCTTTGTCGGTCCTATGGTGTGATGGTTAGTTTTATGTGTCAACTTGGCTAGGCTATAAAAACCAAAAAACGAACCCCATTGCCATCAAGTTGATTTTGACTTGTGGCAACACCACGTGCTACAGTGTAGAACTACTCCATAGAGTTTTCTTGGCTGTAATCTTTACAAAAGCAGATTGTGAAGGCTTTCTTCCACAGTGCTGCTTGGTGGGTTTGAACCACCAACCTTTAGGTTAGTAGTTGAGTGCAACCATTTACACCACCCAAGGACTAGGCTATAAACCAAAATCAAACTCATTGCCATCGAGTTGATTCTGGCTCATAGTGACCCCATAGGACAGAGTAGAACTGCCCCACAGGTTTCCCAAGGAGCGGCCGGTGGATTTGAACTGTCGACCTTTTGGTGAGCAGCTGAGCTCTTAACCACTGTGGCTAGGCTATAACCTGTTAAAAACCTGTTGCCGTCGAGTCGATTCCAACTCATAGAGACCCTGTAGGACAGAACAGAACAGAACTGCCCCATAGTTGTTTCCAAGGAGCAGCTGGTGGATTTGAACTGCTGACCTTTTGGTTAGCACCCAAGTTCTTCACCACTACACCACCCAGGTTTAGAACCTAGTTATTCAATCAAACTCTACTCTAGTTGTTGCTGTGAAGGTACTTTGTAGATGTGATAAACATCTACAGTCAGTTGACTTTAAATAATCTGGGTGGACCTCAACCAGTCAGTTGAAAAGCCTAACAGGAAAATCGAGGTTACCCTGGGGAAGAAGAAATTCCTACTGTGCACTGAAGCATCAGCTCCTGCCCAGCCTGTAACTCAAGAGAGAGGTGCTGGCTAGAGATAAAAGTTTGATAGTTATTGGTATTTAAATCCCATGGTAATAGGTGAAATTACCTGGGGCAAAAAATGCAGAGAAGAGGATCCTGGATCCAGCCCTGAAGAACTCCCATGTTTAAAGCCAAGTAGAAACACGGTTTTTTATGGAAATAGACAAGTTGATGCTTAACTCCCTAAGAAAAAATAAACATGCAAGAATAGCCAGTAAAACACTACAAAAGAAAAGCTACAGGGATGGACAAACCCTACCAAACATTAAATATACCCTAAGGCCTGTTGAATTAAAACATTGTATGTACAAGCCAGAAATAGAAAATCCGGAAATAGATTCAAGTACATATAGAACATCACAATATGTTACAAGTGGCATCTCAAATCACTGGGGCAAAACTTTTTATTAAAGTTGCTAGTGAAAAAATGGTTATTTAGTGGGAAAGGAGTTAACATAAGAGATCTGGTTGCTTGTTCCTTGTTGTCTCCAAGGGAATATGGAACCACAACTAACCCTTGGTCAATCCCTGGGAATATGGCCCGTGGAATATTTTTTATGTCAGTGATTGATGGTTTTGTTCTGTACACCTGAAGCAATGGACCGCGTTGTCCCAGACTGTCAGGTTGCTTTGCACAAACATCAGGACAGATGATGTGCATGCACTTGGTTTCATTGTTGGGATCCTGAGTTTCAGTTGCCATGACTGGCTGTGTAGCAAGATATACTTCCCATATGACCAAAAACCAGTTGCTGTCAAGTCATTCTGACTTGTGGTGACCCCATGTGTGTCAGAGTAGAATTGTTCTCCATAGGGTTTTCAATGGCTGATCTTTTTGGAAGCAGATTGCCAAGCCTTTCTTCTGAGGTGCCTTTGGGTAGACTTGAACTGCCAACTTTTCAGTTAGCATCTGAGGGCATTAACCATTTGTGCCATCCAGGGACTCCCCAATATGATTTAAACCAAACCCAACCCACTGTTGTTGAGTTGATCCTGACTCATAGTGACCCTGTAGGACAGAGCAGAATGGCCCCATAGTGTTCCCAAGGCTGTAAATCTTTACAGAAGCAGACTGTCACATCTTTCTCCCACAGAGCAGTTGGTGGGTTCAAACCACGAACCTTTCAGTTCACAGCTGAGTGCTTTAACCACCTACCACCTGGGCTCCCTCCCATATGATCAGTACTTCATAAAAGCTTCAGACCCTAAAACTCAAACAGGCTTCATGGGCAGAGACATACTACATGGGTCCTTGCAGTTTGCTGCTAGAGAGAAAGCAAGTCCTGTGTGGCCCTGGATGGGAAAGATGCAGAAGCCTGTGCCTGACCTCTCTACACTTTACCAACACATATTGTTTTCCTGCTGCTTTTGCTCTGTATCCTTTGCAATCAAATCCTTAACCATAAGTATAACCTGCTACTGAGTCTTGTGAGTACTTTTAGTGAATTGCCAAACTTGGGGAGGTCATGGAACCTCTGAAACACATTTGAAAAAGATAAATCTATACTTCAAATCATATAAAAGATTAAATCCCAAATTGATTAGATTGGCTCCTCTAGAAGAAAACATGGGTGAATTCCTGTTTAACTTGAGTGAAAGGCTTTCTATCTATAATTCAAAATTCAGATGCTGGTGAGGATGTGGAGAAATTGGATACCAGTCTTCTCAAAGCTTCCAGAAAGAGAGTGGGAGGAGAATGGGAGTAGGGGACAGGGAAGAAGGGAAAATGAGAAACAAAAAATAAAAATGGGCCCTACAGACACTCAACAAACTTATCTCTACTGTAGTGTAACAAAAATCACCACACTTGGAGTAAGTAACCTCGCAGAAGTCCCAACCTAAACCTTTTGGAAGTTAAGCGAGTGTGATGGTTAAGATTGTGTGTCAACTTGGCTCGGCCATGATTCTCAGTGTTTATATATGATCACTCCCATGATTGAATCTGCTGTGAGTAGCCAAACAGTTGA